TTAGCGCCGCACTGTTGTCGGCGCGCTTTTGACATCACAGTTTTAGCGCCGCACTGTTGTCGGCGCGCTTTTGACATCACAGTTTTAGCGCCGCAGTGTTGTCGGCGCGCTTTTGATGTTCGTGGTTATGTCGTGCCACGCATACCTCAAGTCATTCAAGCATATTATTTATAAGCAATAATCCTTACTGAACAATAACATTATACTTTCTTAGGCACTTGGTAGACCTGTACTTGTCTACCACCAACCACTTAGCTTGAAGAAAATTCTCACAAAAAACAAGCAACAACAAAGAAATGATGCTAACATAGGAACCACACCTTAAAACAAATCCATTTACACCAACCAAACACAAACCTCAACAATTTCACACAACAGTAGAGGTATCTTCATACGTTCTTCCTCTAATGTTATATATGCCATCATCTGCCAACAATTTTCTCTGAATTCTAGAACAAACATGTCTGAGTTTTTGCAAAATACTTGAGAGATATAAATTTAATATCAGGCTCAAAACAAGAACAAAGTAATGCCAGAGTATAAAATTTCCATGAGACCCCAACACATGCTTTGGAACACAGAAACTCATATTTTAGCTTTAGATTACTTCATATGATCTCAGCACAAATGGGTTTTTAACATATCATATTGGTTAATTTATAAGGTAATTGCAATCTTTGTCACATATATCCTGGATTTGTATAAAAATCCTGTTTTCCCTTCCCCTGACTCATTTCATTTTAAATCTTACATCAATTTAGCTAGCCCATGCTTCTGATGGGGTCAACTGTAGTTTATGAAATTTTATATCTTTTTAAAAATTATTAATCTGGAAAGTTGCTATCAGACGCCTTCTGATTTTTAATCTCCCTCTTTCTATTTTCCTTCTGGAAGAAAGAAGCAATAATATTAAGACTTGGCAAACCCAGTCATCAAATTTCTAAATCACTTTCCAATCATTCCAAAGATTTGAAGGAACCCAATTATATTATTTAATTTGTAAAACAATTGAAAGAACGGAGTTGACCAAATATTGAATTGAAACACCCATTTGTTCAGCTCTGGTTCATCCCTATTTTGACTCATGTCTCTGTCTAAAGGGTAAAAGAAGATAGCTGAATCAGTGATGATGAACAAAATGCAAAATAAATGAAAAGTTAAGGTTTGAGCTAATGGTACATCTGACAAGAAAATGAGACATAAGGATTCTGAAGAAATAAATATAGATATTACTGAAATTTTCAATTGTTCCCTTATCTCAGATTATTAACAATAAATCTACTGGGAATGAATTAGTAAATCCTTCATCTCCTTTGCTGTATTTAACTTTTTCTTGAATTCCCTCCCCCCCGCGTATTGAATCTGTGATTTTTAATATCTGCAGAATGAAATATTTTGTTTTATCATCTAAACACTGTTTTACTGCATATGAGGGCTAGTCCTTAATCTCTCCTAATCCCCCCCCCTTAATTAAGCAGAACATAGTTCTTGTGTTTCAGGAAATGAGCAGGAATTTTGCCAAGACAGTCTCATTAAATTCAACTTGAGCTTCTGAAATGCATCAGTGAGATTTTTAGCTGTAACCAGTGAAACTGCTGGAATCCCACCTTTAGGCATTTTTGCTATTACCTTCTGGGTCAAATTTTATAGAAGGGATGGCAGAACCTGCAGGTGGAGTGAAAAGGGGAGTCAGCCTAGAATCCCTATATAGCCACAAGAGAATTAGTGCCATTGGGGTGGGCTTCAAAATTTTTAGAAAGGGGTTCTCTGGGTTGCCTGGTCAGCCTCCTGCACCACAGCGGGGTGGGTGGGGCATTTTTGCCCTCCTCAGGCTCTGGAGGCTTTCCTTGAGCCGCCGGGAGGGTAAAAACAGCTTCCCCAAGCTCTGGAGCATTTCTGGCTTTCCCGAACTTCCAGTAGGCCTGTTTTTCACACACACCCCTTTAGCCTCCGTGCATGCCTTGCACTTACCTGCATCCAAAACAGGCCGCGTGGGGATTCCTGGGAGGAGCAGTGTGGGGTGGGTGAGGCCAGCCAAAAGTGGGATTTGGAAGTTCTCTGAACTGCACAGTGTCTTAGCTAGAAGTCTCCTGAATCCCTATAAAACCCCAGCAGTCCACCCCTGTCATTGACCCTTAGCTAACTAGCAGATGCTGTTAGTTGAGAAAATTATTTAACTTGCAGTGCTGTTCTCTTCCTTCATTTGGGAAATAATGGACAAACACCAAAGACAATAATCAAAGCATTTTAATATGCCATATAAATACAGATATGTACACATATATAAAGTGAATATTTGTTTCATTTGACAGGAAAGACAAGACAAGATTTAAACTACTTTCAGGAAGTATGTGACCGTATCCCAGCATCAACTGTCCTGAATTATTCTTCCTCCAAGTCTGCAGCAAAGAGAGGCTATTAAACATAGACGTTTAATAATATACTGTACATTCTTTGCTCTTAA